TATACACACACACACACACACACACACACACACACACACACACACACACACACACACACACATACATACATATACATACATATATATATATATCCTCTGGTCCCGGTGACTGACCCAGATTGGATCCTCCACCATTATCCTGGGACACGTATATTCGCCTTCGTTCCCATCACCCCAATAACCTTATCCTGTAATTTAAGGACAGTAACTTGAAGCTGTGCAATCGACTGTATGTGCAACTTACATACATTATAATATAGCACAATTTTTCACTCTGCCTCTTGGTCCATCTTGCCTATAATTCAGAAACTAAGCAGAACCAGATCCGGTTAATACTTGGCTAAGAGAGGAATAGCAGGGCTGCAGATGAAATAAAAGACACCAAAAGGACGCAACGATTGTTTTGGTCTTGTTGCGAATAAATATATCAAGCCGTGCACGGATGTGTCCATGGAGGAAAAGTGCAACCCGAAGGAATGTGTTACTTTTTCCTTTATTGACAATCTACCCAAGAGTCCCTAGTAGTACCATAAATGGCAATGGTTAAGAGAGTCTAACCATTAGACAGCATTAGACGATACGAAGGAGCCAGACGGGTTGCGAGTATGAGCGAACCTTATTGGGGTCAAGGAAGTCCGGGTGGCCCCTAAAGAGCCGCTCCGCCGCCTCAGCCCCAGCAGTGCCGCCGGCGGGCGCTGCTTCCCCGCCCGCCTCGGCCTCGAGGAAACGCCGGCTTGAAGTGCGGCTGCCGCGGCGCGTCCCAAGGCCCGAAAAAAGCCATTCTTCTCCAAGGCCTGGGCGGGTGCCGCGTTTGGAAGGGCAGCGCTGCAATTCCTTCTATTGTTCCCAGTGGCGTCTTATCGCGGCGGCTGGCCGCCCGGCCTGCTGGCTCGGCACGTCCTGTCAGCGGCCTTAATTCCACCGCAGGGAGCTTCCCCCTCGGACTCGCATTGTTCGCGCCGAGGATCGCTCCCGGATGGGTTCCTGTGTTTTGGAGAGGCCTCCGAGGATTAGCCCTGGCCGCTGGCCAGCTGGCAGCTTGCAGGCTGCCAGGGTGATGGGGTGGTCGGGACCGCACTGGAGGGTGTCCTCTTCGTCCTCCCTTCCCTCCCGGCGCTATTGTCTTGATGGCAGGAAGCTGGCCCAACACGCGACGGGGCCAAAATAGACGGCGGTGGCCCCGGCGGAGGCAGGTCGCGCTCCGCCTGAGCCTCGTGGGTTCGAGCCGCAGCCATCCCGGGCGCTTCGGGAAGCAGGGGCGAGAGGTGGCGCTGGGGGGGGAATTGAGACACGCGGGTGCCGCCGTGCTAAAGGCTGAGGAAGGACGGGCAGGCGGGGGAGGCAAGGAGGACTGCTGGCCTGACACGTGCGAAGACTTATCACTTGTCCCGGCAGATGTTTCCCATCTGGTTGAAAACGCGCGCTGAAAGTATGGAGGGATGCTACACCTCCTGGCCAGCAGTCCAGAGACCTCTCCGTCAAACCCTCCGGTGCAGAATTACCCACTGTGGAGGGTTTGCAGATGCGGTGGGCTGCTCCTAAATTTGGGGTGGGGGAGGGGGGAATCCCAATCAGAAATCGGATCTCTGCCCTCTAATGTCTATTATATAGTGTTTATCTCGCTCCTCTCTACTGGTTTTTTTTTTTTTTTATTTGATTTATATGCCGCCCTTCTCCAAAGACTCAGGGCGGCTTACAATGTGCTCAGCAATAGCCTTCATCCTTTTGTATATTTATACAAAGTCAGCTTATTGCCCCCACAAACTGGGTCCTCATTTCACCTACCTTAGAAAGGATGGAAGGCTGAGTCAACCTTGAGCCTTGGCGAGATTCGAACCCTGCAGTAATTGCAGGCCAGCTGGTCTTAATAAGCTTAATAACAGGGTGCCTTAAACCCCTGTACTACCAAGGCTCTTGTAATTTTGTAACACTCATAATCATAACTTTATTTGTCAAACATATATAAGATAACAGGTAAAAGTATAAACATAATTTGAATACATGAAAAGAGTAAGTAAAAAGGAATATTAGGAAGGGATGGTAGGCACACCAGTGCACTTATGCACGCCTCTTAGGAATGGGGTGAGGTAACAGTAGAGAGTTTAAGGTTAAAGTTTTGGGGGTTTGGGGAAGAAACTACAGTGTCAGGTAGTGCATTCCAGGCATTGACCACTGTTACTGAAGTCATATTTTCTGCAATCGAGTTTGGAACAGTTTACCTTGAGTTTGTATCTATTATTTGCTCGTGTGTTGTGGTTGAAGCTGAAGTAATCATTGACAGGAAGGGCATTGTGGTAGATAATTTTATGTACTATGCTTAGGTCAGACTGAAGTCGGCGTAGTTCTAAGTTGTCTAAGACCAAAATTTTGGAGTCTGGTGGCATAAGGTATTTTATTGCAGTTAGAGGAATAGAGGACTCTTCTCGTAAAATATCTCTGATATTTTATATTATCATATATTTATATTATATGATATTGTTATGGAAATTAAGACTCACAAGATTTCCATGGGTGATCAGAGAGGTTTATTGCGCAAGGTTCAGTGCAATACAAGAAGCAAAGGCTGAACAACAAAGGATTCTAATGCAGTTACTCTTATACATACTTTTGACATCTTATGATTGGTTACATTTCTGACAGCCCATAGCGACAATTTCCCCCCCCCCCTTTGCTGCTATACCCTACAAGCTTACTAACGTGTGTCCCCTCTTAAGTGGGTCACAGGTGTTCTTGAAATCTATCTAAGTTTCCTGCCGTTATATCTGTGGTTACCTCTGCTTGACTAGATGTGATATCTTGCTCATGATGGTGTTTCCTGAACTTTCCAGCTGAGGAGGGTTTTGTTAATTCTGCGGTTTCACTTTTTGAACCTAGTACTAAAGAAAGGGGGCCCTTCAGAGATCCTCTAGACTGACCCCAGTATTATATCACTTTTATATCTAATTTCATTATTCTATATTATTCCATTAGGTTTTGGTCTTCCATATTATTATTATCTCTGATCCCTATCACTGAACCAAGGAGTGGTCAACAGCAGTTAAGTGGAAATGCAACCTGATATGACTCAATCAATCAGAATAGAGCTGGAAGAGTAGTCCAACCCCCCCTTCCCCACTCAAGCAGGAGACGCTACTACACCATTTCAGACAGGTGACAGTCCAGTCTTTTCTTTAAAACCTCCAGTGATGAAGCCTCTACAACTTTTCTGAAGGCAAAGCTGTTCCACTGGTTGATTGTCCTCACTGTTAGGAGGTTTCTCCTTAATTCCAGGTTACTTCTCCTTCATTAGTTTCCATCCATCCATTGGTTTTGTTTTTTGTTTTTGTTTTTTGTTTTTGTTTTTTTTGTTTGCTTTGCCTTCTGGGGCTTTGGAAAATAAGTGAAATCTATAAAGAACCACACATGTGCTCATCTTGTTTATCTGAAGTATTTATTCACCATGTTGGAATTTACATTTCTTCAACTTGGTTACGTTCTTCAGAATTCTGGAAATTGGAATTCACACTTCTTAAAAGTTGCTGAGGTTGAGAAACACTGGGTTAGAAGACAATTAAAAAACAGATAATCAATGAGCGCAGTGAAGGGATTTTTTTTCTGTTCCAGACAGGTTCTTACTATTCTTCCTCACAAAAACTCATTTTTTTTCCAGTTTTTTTTTTTCATTTTTCATTTAGAAAATCTCTCAAAACCTGGCTCTCAACAAGCTTGAGGATCCTGTTGATGTTGGGAGCCAGCAAAGTAACCCCTCTAGGTGTAGGTCCATTCTATTGCAGTTTTATTTATGTCTGTGTTTTAAACTTTCAAAAATTGTTTAAAAAATTAGAAAGTGTTGTTCCGTGCTTGTTTACTTGATTGTATTATGATATACCACCCAATCACATATGTGAGATGGGCAGCTATATAAATGTAGAAAATAAATAAACAAACAGCTCTCTGCAAAAGGCTGTAATGCTGGAAAGGGTGGAAGGAAGGAAGTGAAGAGGATGACCAAGAGCAAGGTGGACAGACTCAGTTACAGTGGGTGGTGGGTGCAATTTTGAGAGACCCGAAAGAACAGGCTAATATAGATCATCATGGAGAAAATCTACCTAGGAATCAAAAACAACATAACACATAACCAACCGTAGGGTGAGAAAAGGGGGACTTCTTAGTTGTTCCTGGTGTTAAGCAATAGGGAATCATATAAAGTTTTACAACTTTCCAGCAGAACTTGATCTCCTTTGCTTACTGCTGCTGTTCAACACCAAACATATTTTTTTTATTGGAAAAGTTTTACAAATACATTTTCACCCAATTTCCGCCCCCTAACCCTCCCTGACCCCCCCTGACCCTCCCTAACCCCCCCTAGCCCTCCCCTCCCCCCAGGACTTCCACAGGATATAATCCAAATCAAAATCACATTTTATAAAACTTGAACCCCTCCACCCCCTGTATATTTTTCACATCTTCACAATTCAGTTATTCTATCCCTATATAATACATTCAGTTAAAAGCTATCTGATATTTCCTAGTTTGATATTTATTCTGCACATAATCTATCCACTTTTTCCACTCCCATACATAAGTCTCTTGTGTCCGATCTTTTAGGTATGCTGAAATCTTCGCCATCTCTGCAAAACTGGCCATCTTCAAAGTCCATTCTTCAATAGTGGGCATAGCTTCATTTTTCCAATATTGACCTACCAACAAACTCGCTGCTGTTACCATATACAATATCAATTTTGTTTCACCCACTGAAAAACCCTTAACTATACCCAGTAAAAACAATTGAGGAGAAAATTGAATTTTTTTCTTTAAAACATTTTGCATAACCCAAACACCAAACATATTGATGCGGGTGATAAATATTGATGTAAGTACAGTTACTTTGCTGGGCCAGATCAATGAAACTCAGCATTCTGTATCCAATGGTGACTAGCTAAATGCCTATAGAATGTTGATGAGTAGCAAAGCTCCATAGCCATGGTGGTGAAATTAAAGATTGCATATTTCCTCAAAGCTTTCCTCCAAGAACCATTTCAGTATGAGATACTAGCAACTAGTATTGCAACGCTCTATGGTAATGTGTTCCATAGTTGTGGAGGTATCTTGGAGGGGGGGGGAAGTCCTGTTTTGGTTTTCCTTGAAATCTGCATTTTGGGGAAAGGATGGAGGTGATTTTAGCTTTCTATATAAAAAAATCAGGGAGAAAAATGATTTAAAAGATTCACCAGCATGGTGTTTGTAAAAATTAATAAGGCAAATGCTTGCACTATTGGCAAAAATCTTAGTTTACACAGAACTGTACCAAGATACAGCTAGAATGGCTGGTGATTTGTTTTTTTTTTAAATAAAAACCAAGCAGTTATCTCTAATCTGTTTCAGATATCCATTTTAATTCAAAGCTCCCTTCTCATTCAAAAAAATAACTAGCCTTTTTACTTATTAAAATATTGTATCCCTGTCTTCAGTTTACTCACATCTCCAAGACAGATGTTTGAGACTTAAATTTTACTACTATTATTATGGACTAATATGCTTTCTGTGAAATGCATCCACTTGTTCCTGCAATTTTCTGGGGGGATGTCCGCAAAATTGGGAAAAAGAGTTTATCCATTAAGAGTGATGGCAGAAACTGCCGTCCTTATTTTAATGTGGCTTCATAATGTCATCAAATGGCCAAGTCTAATTGGTTAATATGTAGCTGCTACTTGATGCCATAATTTATGATGCCAACTCAAGGTTATATAGAGAATAAACGAACAAGAATGAAACCATATAAATATGTGGTGATATGCCTTTTCAGGATTCCTAAAAGTGCCAGTTTTTATGGCCAAAGTCTTTAAATGATGGAAATCTAATTATTGATGTATTTTTATTTTGCTGAGTCTTACATACTGCTCTAGTCGAAAGCAACTCTCAGTAGTTTATTCAGTAAGAAACAGGTTAAAAAGAGTTACAGTAATAAATAATTGACATCTACACAATCAATGCAGGCAATGTACAACTCTTCTAAAAGGGAAAACAAACACTCAAAACTATCCCACGAAGACCTTTTGAAAGAGGATCTATGGAAATCCCAGATCATGAGTTAGGTCTATACAGGAAAATGCAACTCTAGATAGAATTTAGATGGAAATTACAGGGATCAGTTGGTTTCTAGAACTGGACCTGTTCCATCTTTATGGAACTAAACCTGAGCCTATTTCTACTCAGACCCTCACAGCCACCAGATACTGGGAAAGAACCTCAGCTACACCTGTTGTTTGACTACAGGTCAAAATGTACTATGCAATGCAAATGAGGTACTATGAGGTATCATCAGTACCTAATCCTAGAAGTAGGAAATAAATAAACAAGCAAATAAATAAATAAATCCTGTGACCTCACGTTCCAAAGATACTTTTTCAAGAGGCAACTGGGCTTTCTTGTTTTTTCTTTGAAGACGTTTTGCTTCTCATCCAAGAAGCTTCTTGGACGAGAAGCAAAACATCTTTTTTTAAAAAAACAAGAAAATCCAGTTGCCACTTGAAAAAGCACTTTTGGGACAACCATGACCTGGATATCTGTGACTTCATCAACACCTTTTATATTTATTTTAAAAGGGTTTGTGTGTGGAAGAATCAAGCGTTCTGGGACCACATAATAGAGGCTCCTAGAGCTCACCTCCATTGACTGGAGTCACCCAGACAGGAAGGAAAGAATTCCCAGTAAAATACTGTCCCTCTCTCTCAATGCTTACAGAAAATGCAGAAAGATGCCATGATTGATGATGTCAAAAGCTACCAAGAGATCCACTAGACCTATAGATTCAACTCCCCTATCTCTGTCGAGCTGTAAGTCATCCGCAGGAACGATCAATATTATCTTGCCTGAAAATGAACTGAAAAGGCTCCACTATGCCTCGGTAATAACATTAGTAATAGCTGAAGTTTAGATGCTGTAATTTTTTCCTCTTGATTTTTCAGAAAATCACCACCCTCGTCTTTAAAAACCAGCCAACCAGCTTCCAGCATTCTTCAGCAAGAAGCTTTCTTCAATGGACGTGTGGGATCTTAAGAAGTTTACTTTCAGAACTATAAAAACAAAATTCAAACACACCAGAGCACATCTACTGACTTAAAATATCAGTCATAATTTTGTTGTGGAGATTGATACAAATTTTGGATCAATCACATCAAAAGTTAAAATAGATGGGCATTAATTCAGTGATTGGGAAAACACATCTTCCCCCACTTACAAACTTCACCAGAGTCAGAAGCAGTGAGATCCATCACTAAAGGAGAATATTTCTGGCTCAGGGTTGAAATGAGGGGTCCCTCTCTGAGCTTGGTTTTCTTGCAGATCTTTCATTATCCAGACTAGGTAACATTATCAGTGCTAGTCCAGTGTTAGCATCATCACTAGCACTGACAATATTACCTACAGTAGCTTGGGTATTGAAACATCTGCAAGAAAACAACCAAGCTCAGAGAGCACCAAGGATCCCTCGGGTTCATCTCTATTTCCCTTTCTCATCCTCTTTTCCTCAATCCTCCTTCTCTTCTTTCTTCTTTGTGTCTTCCTATCATTTTCCACTTGGCACATTTTAAGGAAGAAGTTCAACTTCCATTTGAAGAAACGTGACTTCAATGAAGACACTTGATGATCTCGTTTTTCAGTTCAAAGGAGTCCCTCTGCTGCAAACAGTTGGAGCCTTTGGCCAAGGAAAATTTGCCAGTTACGGGAATGGAGAGCAGTAAGGTGGGAAGGAAGTGGCAGATCTTCATCCTGAACTCTTTCTGTGGACAGTACTCCGGGGACTTTCATACTCTGCACTCGGGCCCAGTTTCAGCACGTAGCCCTTTCTCTTTTCTGGAGCCCCTCCCTGACCTCCTAACCCTCATTGTCACACGCCCCTCTTTCCACCACCACTACTTTGCTACAAGCAAGCAGCCTGAATAACTTTGCTTACAATAGGCTGAGGGTTATAAGAGAAGGTAATTTATCAACATGTCCAGGGGGACACCCACCAGATATAAATAGTAATGGAACTGGGGCAGAGCCAGGTCTCTGGCAATAGCCTATAGCAAGGGGGCAAAACAACAGGATTCAGTGGGGAAAGGAAGGGGGGAAACCTAAATTCTGAAAATTAGGATTCTTCTCAGCAGCCTTTGGCAAGATCAGAAGAAAACTATTAAGAGAAAATTATTAGCAAAACAGGAAGCCTGGCATACAAATAATAAGAGCAGGCTTTCTTATTAAGGGTATTTCATATATATATATATGAACTATCTCTAATCCAAATGGGTTCCTGCAAAAGATGGCACGCCATTGCTCAGCTGCTTCTGCACGTACCAGTACCAGAATACCAAGCAGATGATTGAATTCGATTGTTTTCTCAAATTGGTAGGCCACCTTGACATGCAAACAAAGTTGGCCATATTTAGTGATGGTGAAGGGGAAAAGTGCTCAAAAGAAAGGGGCAAAAGCTGATATCTACAAACCTTTATTGTCACTTTATCTGCGTACACACTGACACACATTAAAAATGAAATTCTGATTCCCGTTCTCAAAAGAACATGTATATGTATATGTATATATGTTTTCGTAGATTTTCACGGGTAGAGGTATGCAAGTTTTGGTGTATTCGGGTCCTTTCCCGTGTAAGATTGATAGTCTCTTGGCGACGTTTCGATGAGGTCCCACTTGTCATCTTCAAGCTGGTGTCTTAGGCTTCGTGCTTGTGTGAGGAAAGCCAGGCTTTCCTCGCACAAGCACAATAAGAGAGTTGCAGATAACAGAGTTGCCTGATCATCAGAGGCATTTAAAAGAAAAAAAGCCTCTGCCGATCAGGCAACTCAGCTTGGATCGTCAGAGGCTTTTAAAAGCCTTTGACGATCCCAGCTGAGCTGCACGATCATCAGAAGCTCTTTTTTTTTACTTTTAAAAGCATTTTTTTGGCCGAAGAGGTTGTAGAAAAAATGCTTTAAATTTTTTTTTTAAAAAAAGCCTCTGATGATTACGCGGCTCAGCTGGGCATGGGAGTGAGGGCAGGGATTTTTCCTACCGGTTCTCCGAACCACCCGCCTCCATCGCTACTGGATCGGGCGATCTGGTCCAAACCGGGAGCATTTCAACCCCTGGACTAGTGGAAGTTGCTTCCTGATGGACTGAGGGAGGCTACAGAATGTTGAGTGTTCTGGTCCTTGAGTTATATCCAGTGGCCCATACTGATGAGATACTGTTGGATACTCATTCTGAAGAGAGCCAGTTTGGTCTAGTGGTTGAGACACCAGGCTAGTGGGAGATCATGAATTCTAGTTCCATCTTAGGTATGAAAGCTGGCAGGATGAGTTTGGACCAGTCATCCTCTCAGCACATTCCACCTTACAAGATGGTTGTTGTGGTGAAAATACTGTGTTTCCCCAAAAATAAGACTCCCTGGATTATTCCTGGATAATAAGCCCTTTCCTGAAAATAAACCCTTCCCCGAAAATATGCCCTCCCCCTGAAAATAAGCCCTTCCCGAAAATATTTAACCGCATGGGCAGCCGGTCCCCGCCATTTCTTCTGGTTAGGGTTAGGGAGACAGCTGGAAATCAGGTAAGATGGTAAGAGGAGCCCCGTCTTGCTCCACGTGCCCCAAAATAATAAGACCTCAAAAATAAGGCCAAGCGCTTATTTCGGGGTACAAAAAAATATAAGACAGGGTCTTATTTTCGGGGAAACTTGGTAGGAGGAGGAAGATGCAGTAGTTAGGTTCACAATCTTGAGTTAGTTATAAAAATAAAGGTGGTAGATACGAGATGGAGGGAGGGAGGGAGGGAGAGAGGGGGGAGAGAGAGAGAGAGAGAGAGAGAAGGACTGGCATCAAGCTAATTGGAGCAGTTGTAAGACATCTGACACTGAGGAACAAACAACACCTTGTCGGAGAAAATTTCAAAGCCTTTCCTAATACTCTCAAGTGTCACCAGGTGTAGTGGATGCAAAAGAAATCCCATCCCAGATACTGAAACAGTTAAAACTGTGCATCAAACATGGGAATATGAAACTGAGGCACTGAAACAATTCCAGAAAATTCTCTTCCCCAGTGGTCCTTTAAATAGATGATGGAGAGCTCCATTTTGTGTTCCTTCTGTGCTTTTCTCTCACTGGAATAGGAAAAGAGATCTTCCCTCTCAGGACAGAGTGTTTGTCAGGTAAAAAGGGGAAGAAAAAAAAAGAAACAATCCCAGAAACCTGGGTTGGAGATTTAGGAAAAATACAGTCATCTAGGGACTAGTGGAAGCTAGATGCGAAATTAGCATTTTGGTTTTTCAAATAATTCGAATGGTGTTTTTGCTAATCTATGTTGCCTTTGATTTTACTATCCTGTGCCCTAGTTTCTTCTGCCTTTGTGTCTAGAGGGGGAGTTCACTGAGAGAAATCACTTTGAATTAGTTCTTCTTCTTTTTGTTTTCTTTCTTCCTTTGTCTTTCACTCCCATTAATCCCCTAACCTTGATATACATAATAAGGAGGCTTGGATGTCTTTATGGAATCAGCATATTCATTCTGGAAGGACTTTAGGGCACTCTCAGACAGATTAAGCCACTGAGAAAAATCAAAGGACTTTCCCCACTCCCTTTCTTGTAAATTAAACTAGTGTAGAGAGAGAGAGACCTCCTCTGGAGTAGAGTAGATAGAAGCAGCATTGATTGATTGATTGATTATTGATTGATTGATTATGTGCCACTAATATTTACTCTTAGTGACTACCTAAATACGGTAGATTTCCTCCCTAATGATAAGTCCCTTAATCTAGTGGTGTCTTCATCATATTGTAACTGAGCCAATCTACTGTATTTTAGTCGTCCTCTTTTCTGTCTTTCCATCTTTCCCCAGTATCAGATCTTCTTCAGATCTTCTTCTTTGCATAATGTGTCTGAAGTTGGATAATTTGAACCTGGTTACTTCTGCCTACAGTGAGAAATCTGGACTGATTTGTTTGATATCCATTGGCTTGGGGTGTTTTTTTTCTTTTTTCTTTTTTACTGTCCACGATATTTTCAAGTGTCTGCAATGTCATACCAAACAGGCTTTGCCCAAGAGCAAGAGAGAATACAGTAAAAAGTTTGTGGATGGAAAAGACTAGAACCTTTTTTTTTTTTTTTTTGTAGAGGCTAAATATCCCAGGCCATCATATTCCATTGTGGTTGTGTATTTGTGTAAATATCTACCCCATTATACCAGGTATCACCAGTGTTATATACATCTAAGACAAATTTCTTGTTTGTCCAATCACACTTGGCCAATAAAGAATTCTATTCTATTCTATTCTATTCTATTCTATTCTATTCTATTCTATTCTATTCTATTCTATTCTATTCTACTCTACTCTACTCTACTCTACTCTACTCTACTCTACTCTACTCTATAGAAAGCAGTCACCAATTAGTTCACTCATTTTTGCCTCAGCCAGGGCAGTATTATACACTAGTCCTATGCATAAATTACTTCTGCTACGAGATGCCATCCTCTGGGAGGTTCTTCCACCCTCACTACACAAAGCAACAATTACAAGTACTTATCCTCCAGATGGCAGAATAGAGAGTCAGTGTTCAATTGTGTTATTCTTTCCATGGGTGGAGTGGGGGAGATTTGCAAGGAATGGCCACCCTCCATTCATAGCCGTGTGGCAAAAGTGAGTATGTGCCAGTTACAAAAGGAAGAGTAACGGAATAACAGAGTTGGAAGGGACCTTGGAGATCATGGAGTCCAACCCCCTGCTCAGGCAGGAGACCCTATACCATTTCTGACAAGTGGCTGTCCACTCTCTTTTTGAAAGCCTCCAGTTATGGAGCACCCACAACCTCTGAAGGCAAACTATTCCACCGGTTGATTGTTCTCACTGTCAGACAATTTCTCCTTATTTCTAGGTTGAATCTCTCCTTGATCAATTTCCATCCATTGTTCCTTGTCTGGCCTTCGGGTGCTTTGGAAAGTTGGTTGTCCCCCTCCTCTCTGCGACAGCCCCCAGACTGAAGCAGGATCCCAAATGAAAGCGTAACGAGAATGTATACTCTTCAACGTGAGTTATTCTAGGCCCTTTCCTCACTTTTTCAAGTTTAATTTTTAAAAAGCATCTAATTTCCAAATAGTTGGCCAGCATTAACCTCTTATCTTTGTAGCTGATTAGTGCAGGAAGACTCTTGGCCCGCCTCTCAGCCTTTGATTTTCGTTCTGGCTGTGTTGCATTTATCCTTCTCATCTCCATACAAAACATAGGCCCCCATGCAGTGACATTTTGGGCCCTGGAGTGAAGGCAGGGGTGAAACTCAGCAGGTTCTGACAGGTTCTGGAGAACCGGTAGCGGAAATTTTGAGTAGTTCAGACAACCAGCAAATACCACCTCTGGCTGGCCCCAGAGTAGGATGAGAATGGAGATTTTCCAATATCCTTCCCCCAGGAGTGGGGAGGGAATGGGGATTTTGCAATACCCTTTCCCTGGAGTGGGGTGAGAATGGAGATTTTGCAATATCCTTCCCCTGGAGTGGGGTGGAAATGGGGATTTTGCAGTATCCTTCCCCTGGAGTGGGGTGGGAATGGGGATTTTGCAGTATCCTTCCCTTGCCAGGCCTACCAAGCCACACCCACCAAGCCACACCACGCCCACCAAGCCATGCCCACAGAACTGGTAGTAAAAAAAATTGAATTTCACCACTGAGTGAAGGATTAAGGCAATCACCTGCAAGAGAGACCTGCGTCGGTCCTTTGACCATTCACCTCCCAGTTGGCACAAACTAACTATCATCAATATTCCCGTGGATCTGGGAAGCACTCTAATAGGAGACCCATTATCCCCATGCAGAAATGCTTCCTTGTTGTACTCGGAGAGCTACTTCAAGAATTAGAAAGGCAAGTACTGACTTCAAGAGCCCTGCCACGGTCCCTCCCGTTTCCTGGCATGTCAAAGCAAGCGAAGGAGAGATGCGAATCAGGATGAGCCTTTTGTCACCCCTCCTGAGGGAACAAAGCCTGCGTACAGTTATTTCCATTTAATTATTTCCTTGTAACAACTTCCCCTTTGCTACCATGGAATATCTTTATGTAAGTACATGACATACAAGCTCCTTAAAGGGAAAAAAAAAAGAAAAGAAAAGAAACAATCCAATCCTTAGCACAATAGCACAATATGTCCTCAGGTATAACTTGTACAGAGATATAACAAAGTAAAATACAACCTTCATTATGAGCCCTTTCTTCGTTTCCTCACATTTGCTTGATTATGTGCCATGAAGTCGCTGTCAACTCTTAGCAGCCCTGTAGATGGACTTTCTCCAGGACAATCTATCCCTAACTTGGTCTTATAGCCTCCTTCTTCATATAGTGTGATATTTTAGGATGCTTCACTACTGTAAATTTAGGCAGAAACCATTTCCATCTGTAATACTTTATTTTACAACCATGAAGCTGGAATGCTAGGTTGGAAAGTAGAGTTAGTCTTGCTTGTAGCTCCTGATACCCCAAAGATTGTATTGTTAAAACTGACTGAATTGCTGTAACTTTGCCCTCTTCTGTATGTGAAAGTAAGCAGCTAAAAGAGGCATTATCTCTTGGTCTTAATGCTCCTGTTTTACTTACAACAGAAAACTCTTAAATGAGCAAAAAGGGTAGAAAATTCTACCCTTGTCTTCACTGGGAGCTCCATTATCATGTGCTCTTTGGTGGCTGAAGGTCCCCAAAATGGGAGAAGAGCAACCCTGTTAAAAAGAAATTAGCAATGTAACATGAGAATATAATAGAATAAACAGAACTCTTTATTGGCCAAGTGTGATTGGACACACAAGGAATTTGTCTTGGTGCATACACTCTCAGTAACATCAATGTACAAGCAACTTTGTCAGCAGTCGTTGGTGTCACAATTGGCCTTACATGCACAGAGAAAGCCATTCGGACAAACTACTTCAGGTATTTGAAAACTTGCCCTCCTTTCGATAATGGCAATCTTGCATTTCCATCTAAAGGACCTCAGCCAAGTTTGCTTTCACGGATGCTGCGTGTATGATTGTTCTGTCCTGCTCAGTTGAATGAAGGTTGCAAGGAGAGAGAGAGGGGGGGAGAGGGGGGGGGGGAGGGAGGGAGGGAGAGAGAGAGAGAGAGAGAGAGAGAGTATGTGTGCTGCCTCAAAATTATATGCTGAGAAATGACTGCTACGTGCTAGTGCCAGAAAAGCTGAAACCTGGAGTATCGGTCCCTCTGATTTTTTTTTATAAATAGGTATAATCAAAGGTGAATGAAAAAAAACATGTTCTTTTAAGACTGCTGCATAGTTATGAGTGAGAGGCAGGTAAAGTCATCCCCAATGCTGTCTGATTGTTCCCTAAGGGAGTTTCTGTTCTAAAGTGCACTAAACTCTTAGTGATGCTTGAAAGTCTTGTTGGCATTGGTTCATGCGTCACCAGAACTCTTCAGTTAGAGAGCAGTGAGGGACAGAGAAGAGAGGAAAAGAAGCATAGGGAGAAAAGGAGACACATGTAGTATCCCCTGCCATGAAAATACAGATAGTCCTCATTTTGCAACCCCAGTTGGGACCAGCATGTTGGTCGTTAAGCAAAGCATTACTAAGCAAAACCGCAACTGTGCTTATAATCTTACTTCAGCTTTCCTTTGCTTTCCAGACCTACAAAAGTCGTAAAGGTGAGGATTGGTTGGAAGGCTACTTTTTCATCATGGTCATAACTGCAAACGGCAGCTGTGTGAGGCAATCACTAAAGGAGGAAATTAGAAATTGCAAGGCCTTGATTTACTCTTGTGCATTATAGAAAGCAATGGCCAATAGACTTCTATTGGCATCATTCAATGCGCTGAGGATGTGGGAAAAGATCAATTCCATGCAAGAATTCTTGAGGAAAGGTTGAAAATAACACAAACAATGTCATACCTTCATGTAGCCAACCCATTTGGAATAGTGCATGAAGTTTGGGTTTCCCAATCTCTAAATCCATTCATCCATCCATCCGTACATCCAGCCATACTTCCATCCATCCATCCATCCATCCATCCATACCAATGGTGGGTTCCTCCCGGTTTGGCCTGATTCTCCCGAGCCGGTAGCGGTGACGATATGACGTCACCGAACCGAAGATGGGAGTGAAAAGGATTGGACAAGGTATAGATAGCAAAACAAAGAAATTTCTTAATTATCCCCACTGTGTCTGATCACAACTGGCACTGTGATTATTATCTGGAAATAATAATTATTTTCTGTACATGCAGTGGCTCTTCTACTGCAGAGCTGGGGTAGTTTTAGAGTTGCAAAACCTGCTATGCCTCATATCTTTATTTATTTACTTACTTACTTACTTCAACTTTGCCATTGTCCTATTCCAGGCCAAATTAGCGAGCCACTAATCATTCTGGATCACACACATACATACACACAGAGGGAGAGAGGGAGGGAGGGAGGGATGGAAGAAAGAGAGAGAAGAAAAAAAGAAAGAAAGAAAGAAAGAAAGAAAGAAAGAAAGAAAGAAAGAAAGAAAGAAAGAAAGAAAGAAAGAAAGAAAGAAAGAAAGAAAGAAAGTCCTTGGTACGCCAGTCTTTCTTCATTTCAAAACTACAATTTGGAAAGACAAAGACCATTTTATTGCTATGATAGTTTTAAAAAATTAAGAACCCTACATACAGAAATCTAGTTGTGATCTAAGCTAACCTTCTGCTCACTCTTGCACTAAGAAACCCATCCTCAGTCCCAGTGTGAACCATGGCAATTCTGATCTATTCTCCCAACTACATCAAAAGCTCTCCAGCTGCAGTGCTGGATGTCTGTTCCCTGCCTCCATAAATATTTAAACATATTTTTTGCCAGCAGGAGAGTCAAGATGTATCATACTTTAGGAGGAATTCTTTTGTATCTTATGACAAGATTTGGAAATTGGAAGGAATGCTAAACATGAGAGTTTAAAAGGTAGAGAGAGAGAGAGAGCCCAAAGTTCAGTGATACCATAAGACGTGAATGTCCTGTATTTTCTTCCCTTTCAGAGAGAAAGGAGCAAAGAGCACAGCATCTGGCCAGGATAGGATTTGACAGTGCTTTGACTGTCATAAGTTTGACTTAGGATGATGTTAAGTGCAAGCAGGTGGAGTAAAAGTTCTTGGGAACTAAGCAGTTCATTGGCAGATTGATTACAGGTTGGTAGTGCAATCCAAAGCTATCTTCTAAGGGTCTAGGGCAGAGGTCTTCAAACTTGCAAGGTTTAAGACCTGTGGACTTCAACTTCCAGAATTCTCCAGACAGCTATGCTGTTGAAGTCCACAAGTCTTAAAGCTGCCAGGTTTGGGGAACCCTTGGTCTAGGGCTAGGCTTATACTGCCTATTTCTCCTGTTCTGGTGAATTGGGGAGGGGATGTGCCTGCATAGACCACTAGTATTTAGTCATTGGGTTGATTAAGGGTTGTGGAGGCTCACTGGACCTGCAGGACCTGGTGCAAGTTCTAAGCTGAAGATCCTCCCAGCATGACCTACTGCCTCAAACCACCTTATTTCAGGAAACTACCCTAGTCAGGTGTCTATGGAGATTCTCAGTCATCCAGGTCATGGTTGTTCCAAAGGTGCTTTTTCAAAAGGCAATTGGACTTTCTAGTTTTTCTTTGAAGACGTTTCGCTTCTCATCCAAGAAGCTTCTTCAGCTCTGACAGGACGGTGGGGAATGGCCTAGCCAGATTTAGCCTAGATTACTGTCATGGCATGTGGGAAAGATCTTGGAAGACTGGGCAAAGAGATGCTGTCAAAGGAACGTTCAAATAACAGATAGCACAGTTTGCAACTAGATAATGAGGGAAGCAAGAGGCTGAGAAAACACCCTCTCTAGTTTCTTGGTGTGCATAATGGAGGAGGGGGAGAGAGAGAGAAATGTACTTTCAGACTTAACACAGATTCTGTCAATGTAGCTTTACAGTACAATTAGCTCAACAGATTGTGGTTCCTATCTGGTTTAACTTGGAAGACTGACACTAGTGCTGGTAGCCTCCCTCTGCCAGTAGACATCTTCAATGGGTCACTAAGTTTCTTCAGTAGCTTTGATCCATGGGAGCTGATTGATAGGTCAGATCACCCTCACCAATCTGTCAATGGCTTTGTTTTGGAGACATTAGCCACCTGTATCCACCTACCTACAGACTTTGTGAACTGAAGAAGAACTCAGTGTTGAACTTCCTGCAGAAGAGAATATTTGTAGCTCAGGACTGAACTGGGAAGTTCTTCGTACTCTTTGATCTTGGTGTTTTACTTGCAAACATTTCATTACCCAACTAGATAAGATCATTAGTGTTTGCAAGCAAACAAAAACCAAGCTAATAGAGCACCAAGAACTCTACAGTGCATTAACTATGGAGATTCTCAGTCATCCAAATCATGGTTGTCCCAAAAATGCTTTTTTGAAAAGGCAACTGGACTTTGGGTTTTTCCCCCCCCTTGAGGACGTTTCACTTCTCATCCAAGAAGCTTCTTCAGTTCTTATTAAGTGAATTCAGATATAAAGTGGTAACAAACCACAGTTGGTGGAAACTAAAACTATGTTTCCCCATCTCATTTTTTATTTAAAAAAAGGCTCAGACTCTGTCTTGATTGTTGGATTTCTTGGTACTGACAAAATAAAATTAGAAAGCTATCAAGTTCATTTTTAGTATCACACCAGTTGGCCTTGTTTTTATTTATTTTTTTATCTTATTTATTTAATTTGTATACTGCCCTTCTCCAACAGGACTCAGGGCGGTGAACAGCCATGGTAAAACATAACATATAAAATTTAAAAGCAGTTTAAAAACATTAAATAATTTTGGCTATCCATTTAAAACAACCCGGATTAAAACCAATTACAAATTAAAACTGAAGGGATGGGATCAAGCCAGCCCGGCTAGGTGAAAAAGATGACGAAAATTCTGGAGGTCTGGTATCATGCGTATCTCTGGGGGTAGGTCGTTCCAGAGAGAAGGCTCTCCCCTTGGGGGTTGCCAGCCGACATTGTCTGGCTGACGGCATCCTGAGGAGTCCCTCTCTGTGGGAGCGTACTAGCCGGTGGGAGGCTATTGGCGGCAGAAGGCGGTCTCGTAAATACCCCAGCCCTAAGCCATGGAGCGCTTTAAAGGTGGTCACCAACACCTTGAAGCGCACCCTGAAGACCACAGAAAGCGAGTG